GTCGACGAGCACGAAGTGGCCTACAGTTGGCTCCGGGCATCCAAAATGTGGCCCGGGAATGGAGTTCTGGGAAGTCGAAGAGCACGAAGTGGCCTACAGTTGGCTCCGGGCATCCAAAATGTGGCCCGGGAATGGAGTTCTGGGAAGTCCAAGAGCACGAAGTGGCCGACAGTTGGCTCCGGGCATCCAAAATGTGGCCCGGGAATGGAGTTCTGGGAAGTCGAAGAGCACGAAGTGGCCTACAGTTGGCTCCGGGCATTCAAAATGTGGCCCGGGAATGGAGTTCTGGGAGGTCGAAGAGCACGAAGTGTGTGACTGTTTGCTTAAAACGAGCCCGGTTCTCGCTTGTCCGGCTCCTGCCCAGACCCCCTTGGGGAGTCATCAGATGCTCTCTTTTGGCCCCATTAGAAACCTATCAGTCTTCGCTGTTAGGAAATAATATGGGGACTATGTTTTTTAGTATTTTGGGGCATCTTTTGGGCATTTCTGATGTATTTTTCATTTTTCGTCCAAAATCCCCCTGTAGGGGGACAGGCGCGACTTAAGACTACTCCGCCTCCTCCTTTGGAGGGCCGCCCGCGGCAAGGTTTGGGCCTCGTCGCCCCTTCCTCTGGGCCTCAAGGTGCGCCCCTCTTGCGCGCCAGTTCTCGCTGGCCTTAAGTCGGGCCCGTCCCTCTACAGGAGGAATATTCAAACATAGTCAAAAATTATCCCGGCAAAGCAACCTAACAGCGATGTGTAGGAGCATATCTGGAAGCATTCCCCTTAAGATTCAGATGAGAATCCAGTTGTAGAATTCTGCTGTTCTCGCAGTCGTAGTCGCATTCGTGATGGCAGTCGCAGTGGCAACGGCAGTCGCAGTCACAGCCTCAGCCTCAGCCTGCCTCAGCCTCAGCCTCAGCCTGCCTCAGCCTCAGCCTGCCTCAGCCTCAGCCTCAGCCTGCCTCTGCCTCAGCCTCAGCCTGCTTCTGCCTCAGCCTCAGTCTGCCGTCGGCCTCGGCCTCAGCCTCAGCCTGCCTCAGCCTCAGCCTGCATCAGCCTCAGCCTCAGCCTCAGCCTGCCTCAGCATCAGCCTGCCTCAGCCTCAGCCTCAGCCTGCATCAGCATCAGCCTCAGCCTGCCTCAGCCTCAGCCTCAGCCTGCTTCAGCCTCAGTCTGCCTTCAGCCTCGGCCTCAGCCTCAGGCTGCCTCAGCCTCAGCCTGCATCAGCCTCAGCCTCAGCCTCAGCCTGCCTCAGCATCAGCCTGCCTCAGCCTCAGCCTCAGCCTGCCTCAGCCTCCGCCTCAGCCTGCTTCAGCCTCAGCCTCAGTCTGCCTTCAGCCTCGGCGTCAGCCTCAGGCTGCCTCAGCCTCAGCCTGCATCAGCCTCAGCCTCAGCCTCAGCCTGCCTCAGCATCAGCCTGCCTCAGCCTCAGCCTCAGCCTGCCTCAGCCTCAGCCTCAGCCTGCTTCAGCCTCAACCTCAGTCTGCCTTCAGCCTCGGCCTCAGCCTGCCTGCCTCAGCCTCAGCCTGCATGAGCCTCAGCCTCAGCCTCAGCCTGCCTCAGCCTCAGCCTGACTCAGCCTCAGCCTCAGCCTGCCTCGCCTCAGCCTCAGCCTGCTTCAGCCTCAGCCTCAGTCTGCCTTCAGCCTCGGCCTCAGCCTCAGCCTGCCTCAGCCTCAGCCTGCATCAGCCTCAGCCTCAGCCTCAGCCTGCCTCAGCATCAGCCTGCCTCAGCCTCAGCCTCAGCCTGCCTCAGCCTCAGCCTCAGCCTGCTTCAGCCTCAGCCTCAGTCTGCCTTCAGCCTCGGCCTCAGCCTCAGCCTGCCTCAGCCTCAGCCTGCCTCAGCCTCAGCATCAGCCTGCCTCAGCATTCAAAATGTGGCCCAGGAATGGAGTTCTGGGAACTCGAAGAACACGAAGTGGCCTACAGTTGGCTCCGGGCATTCAAAATCATGCCCAGGAATGGAGTTCTGGGAACTCGAAGAGCACGAAGTGGCCTACAGTTGGCTCCGGGCATTCAAAATGCGGCCCGGGAATGGAGTTCTGGGAAGTCGAAGAGCACGAAGTGGCCTACAGTTGGCTCCGGGCATCCAAAATGTGGCCCGGGAATGGAGTTCTGGGAAGTTGAAGAGCACGAAGTGGCCTACAGTTGGCTCCGGGCATTCAAAATGTGGCCCGGGAATGGAGTTCTGGGAGGTCGAAGAGCACGAAGTGTGTGACTGTTTGCTTAAAACGAGCCCGGTTCTCGCTTGTCCGGCTCCCGCCCAGACCCCCTTGGGGAGTCATCAGATGCTCTCTTTTGACCCCATTAGAAACCTATCAGTCTTCGCTGTTAGGTAAATAGTCTGGGGATCATTTTTTGACTATTTTTTGACAATTTTGGGGCATTTCTTGGGTATTTTTTGATTTTTCGTCGACAACTCCACTGTAGGGGGACACGCCCGACTTAATGCTTGGGCTCTTCTTCCCAGCTCTGCTGGGCCAGGCGGGGCTCCCTCCCCGCCTGTTGTCGCAGGGCAGTCCTGCTGTGTCGTGAGTGGTATTATGGCGGCAGTGAGCGCACGGAGCTCAGAAGATCTCCCCTGAGCTCACTCTCCTTACCTTTTCGTCCTTCCCCGCTGCCCCTTCTCTCCCAGCTCTTCTCCCTCCGCTCCTCTCCCCTCCACCACCCTCTCCTCGCCTTTCCCCGTCCGCCTCTCCCTCCTTTCCCGTCCTTCCCTGTCGGTTTCGTCCCCTCCTCCTCCTCCTCCTCCTCCTCCTCCTCCTCCTCCTCCTCCTCCTCCTCCTCCTCCTCCTCCTCCATTCTTTTTCCTTACACATCCCGAGGCCAGTTTTTTGGGCGGGACGGGCGTTTCGCCTGAGACTTCCTCACCATTTATGATTCTGAAGCTTATGAAATATGGCTTTCGCCCCAGCGCCGCGCACTTTCGTTAACAAAATTACAAGATTTTCACGGATGGAGGGCGGGTCGTTTTCAAAATGTGGTTCTCGCCTTAGCGCCGCGCACATTCGTTTTCAAACATTGCAAAGAGCTTCACGGGTTGGGGGCGAGTCGTTTTCTCAATGTGGCTCTCGCTTTAGCGCCGCGGCGCGGCGCACATTCGTTTTTTCTTCAAAAAAATGCAAGAGGTTCGCGGATTGAGGGCGGGTCGTTTTCAAAATGTGGATGTCGCCTCAGCGCCTCGCACATTCGTTGTGAACATTTGCAAGAGTTTCACGGATTGAGGACGGGTCGTTTTCAAAATGTGGTTGGCGCCTTAGCGCCGCGCACATTCGTTTTAAACATTTGCAAGAGTTTCACGGATTGGGGGCGGGTCGTTTTCTCAATGCGGCTCTCGCTTTAGCGCCGCGCGCATTCGTTGTGAACATTTGCAAGAGCTTCACGGATTGAGGGCAGCTCCTTTTCAAAATGTGGTTGTCGTCTTAGCGCCGCGCACACTTGTTTTAAACATTTGGAAGAGTTTCGCGGATTCCCGTGATCAGCGTACCAGAAATAGTGTTTTGGAAGGATTCAGAATTATGCGGGTGCAACAGTTAGGTTGATTCGCGGCATTCAAGTCCCAATCTATGGCGTTCTGGTACGATTCCAGATCGTCAGGACGCAGCAGTCAGGTTGATCCGTGGCGTGGAAATCCCGAGAACAATGCGTTGGCATGCTTCAAGGTCTTCAAACGGTTGTCTGCCAACGAGGCAGTTCCCTCAATGGAAATGAACCGTTGTAAGGGCCTATGAAGAGGGAGCTTGGAGGGAGGGTTAACTCCGACATCGTTGATGAATCTTGGGTTTACACTGGTCCTCTTCCTCCTCCTCCTCTTCCTCCTCCTCCTCCTCCTCCTCCTCTCTCCCACCGAGTGTTGTATGCTCTAAGGCGGCGGGGCCCAGCGCGGACACTGCTGGTGCGAACGGTGGCCCCAAGCTGCCCCGCTGGAAGCGGCGCAAGGTGGACAAGGACACACCGGCCTCTCTCTCCCAGCCTGTGGGTCACCACCTACCAAACCATCCCAACCCAACCCGAAGGCTTCAATTTGCCCTCCATTTCCAGTGGGGGGGGGTCGGGGAACATCGAAAAAACACGCATGGAACCCATACCCCCCCCACCCGAAATTCGGGTCTTCGGGTTGGGTTGGGGTGGTCTGGTAGGTAGTCAGTGGGCGCCTTCCGGCCACGCGCTGGTCTTCTCCAGTCCCTCTTTGGCCACATGCTTGTTGCATCCTTTCCTCCCTCCTGCGTTCCTGCCACATCCCTCCCAGCGGGCTCCCTAGCTGGGCGCGCACGACTCCGGCGTTCATCTCTCGTCTCCGTCTTCTGCACCATGCCTTGGCTCTTGCCCTCGATGCCCCTGTTTCTCCACCCATCCAGGGTCCATTTCGATTAGATCGATCCGATTCCGATTTTCGTGCGATCCGATGCGGCCCGACGCCTGCTTAGCGCTGCAGTGCGTCCTGGCGCCCCCGATCCGATTCGATTCCAACTCCGTACAGATGCGGCCCGATCCGCCTTACGTTCCGATCCGATCCGATTTCCCGACTCGATGCTGGCTGATCTTGCCTTTCCAACCGTCTCTCTCACTCTCTCTTTCTATGTTTTTGCCCTGTCCACTCTTATTTAATCGCTTCGCTCATTCCGCCGGCCCATGATTTCGCACCGTGGTCGCCTGTCCGAGTGTTCGTTTGCAGTGTGGAGCTGCGGCGTCGGGAGCTGTGTAGTGTTGGGGGCGTTCTTGGGGCCCTCTTGGGCCGTCCTGGAGGCCTCTGGGGCCGTCTTGGAGCCGTCTTGGGCCGTCTTGGGGCCCTCTTGGGGGCCTCTTGGGCCCTCTTGGGGCGATCTTGGAGGCCTCTTGAGCCGTTTAGGGGCGTCGGGGAACCGAAAAGGTTGAAACGCCCAAATCTGTCCAACACCAAAGGAAAAGCACAGGTTTTTGCCTCTTGGGGCCCTCTTGGGAGTTCTCTTGGTGGCCTCTTGGGGCATCTTGGAGGCTTCTTGGGCCATCTTGGAGACGTCTTGGGCCGTCTGGAGGCCATCTTGGGCGTCGTGGAGCGATCCTCGGGCCGTGTTGGGGGCGTTCTTGGGGCCCTCTTGGGCCGTCTTGGAGGCCTCTGGGGCCGTCTTGGAGCCGTCTTGGGCCGTCTTGGGGCCCTTTTGAGGGCCTCTTGGGCCCTCTTGGGGCGATCTTGGAGGCCTCTTGAGCCGTTTAGGGGCGTCGGGGAACCGAAAAGGTTGAAACGCCCAAATCTGTCCAACACCAAAGGAACAGCACAGGCCTCTTGGGGCCCTCTTGGGAGTGCTCCTGGAGGTCTCTTGGGGCATCTTGGAGGCTTGTTGGTCATCTTGGAGATGTCTTGGGCCGTCTGGAGGCCATCTTGGGCGCCGTGGAGCGATCTTCGGGCGTCTCGGACCTCTCTTGGATTGTGTTGGGGGCCTCTTGGGGCCCTCTTGGGGCGATCCTGGAGGATCTGGGGGAGTGTCCCGGGCGTGTCTCGGGCGCGTCCCGGGCGTGTCCCGGGCTCCTCCCGGGGTACTTTTGATCCAGGGACCCCCAGGGGCCGCCCCGCGCGCGCGAACTAGAAATACTGTTTACCAGTTACCGGAGATCTTAGCACGCCTCTGGCCCGTTGGGCCGGCGAATTTCCCTCCCTCCTGTCGACGGTCTGGCATTATCGCTCATCGTCTGAGCTGGTCGACGCCTGCGCCGTCTCGGCCAGTCGCGACAAAACCTACGGCCGCCACAGCGCCAACACTCATCCATCACCATCATTCTGCCATCGTGCCAGCGATTCTACTGAGCGGTTGCAACACGTACGCTACGATACCGATGTTGAGCTCGCACCGCGCTTCTTCACAAGCGGTGCCGCGGCCATGGAAGTTCATTCCATACAGACCAGACGCCTGTACCACTTCATTCGGTGCTCGTTTGGGGGACCCTTCTGGGGCTCACCTGACGGACCTGTTCAACTCTAGTTTGACTCTAATTCGATTTTCGTTCGGCTCAAGTTCGACTGAGGTTCGACTCAAGTCGACGGACATGGAACGACTGGCTCCAGGGAGGTCCCCAGATCGGCCAGGAGCCCCGCGCCAGACGGCGCGCGGGCCGGGGGAAGCAGAACGATGCTGCCTGCAGGGAGCCCTTCGGCCAATGTTCTCGGCGAAACAAGTCTGATTCAGAGTGCCCAGAGGAGGAGGGGGAGGAGGCGGAGAAGGAGGAGGAGAAGGGGGGCGGGAACACGATGGGTCAACCGCGTCGCGATCTGACAGCTGATTCCCACGCCGCTACTGCACGGGCGTCTGGCCTTAGTAAGGCATCCAGGTGGTCGTGGGAGCCAACGACTTTCGCGCAAGCATTTCTGACCATGCTGCCCCACATCTGTCGGTGAGGTCATCACTTGCGAGTCGTTGTCGGCACTCGGAGCTCTATGCTGCCAGGCTGGAGGACGAAGCTGCGCACTGGACGTTGGCAGGGCGTCTGCCGTTTCGCAATGGTTTCGTTAGGTGGCCTCTTGCCAGCCATGCTCAAGACAGCGCTATCGGAGATGCGGCTATTATACGAGGGTTGTATGATGTTAATCTTCCTTACACAAATTGAACCTTTTTGCGCTCTGGCTGTTGAAGAGAAGCAGCATACATTCATTGACATAGTTTCGATATGATATGACACGCCGCGGAAATCTTCAACGTTCTGTATCTAGAAAATGTTACGTGGGACCAGATCAAACTCAGCACCTGAAAATTCTGAGTCGCTGCGCAAAATTGGTTGCTCAGCTTGGAACAACAGCGTCCATCAGACGAAAACTGGGTTCCGAAGACACTGACGTCTCCTTTCTCTTCACGGTGTCACCGGCACTTTTTATCACATGCGTGCCAGAGCGGACTCTCATCATCTCAGTTTGTTCCAGTTCAAGTTTAGCCTGCGCTGCTTGCTGTACTCCTCCACGCACGGCACGAGCTCTTGCACGACGCCAGGATTCGCATCCAGCAAAATCGTGCCGTCTGCGTGAACCAATTTCCGCATGTCTCGCTTGCTGGGGTGTCGGGGAGTCTCCAGAGGATCTTCGCGAGCGCATTTTGCAAAAGCGTCGTGACGATAGTGAATAGGAACGGAGACAGCGGGCACCCCTGGCAGATGCCGGATCTCTGCCGTCGTTTTCCAGAATGTGCGCCGCAGTCAGATTCGATGTTTTTTTGTCGCTGTAGATCGCCGTCGCTATGTCGACGATTTTGGCTGGGCAGCCGAATCGCCGAAGCGACATCGCCATTGCTTCCAGTGACACTGAATCGAAAGCTTTGATCCAATCCAGCGGTATTAAGAGCATAATCGTCCCCTCTTTTGTGGCCCACGTGCTTCGGGCGCGCGTCTGGCCAAACACATGGCAGCCGAGGTGCCTGTCTGCACGAAGACCAAATTGAGCGGGCCACATCAGCCTCTGCAGTGTGGTCGCCGCAAACACGTGTACCCGATCAGTGGAAAGCTTACTGGCCGGTAAATATTTGCTTGCGATCATCCATTTATCCCCCACCGGGGCAAATGAATGGACCCCGCGGGGCTCGAAGCATCTGTTTTATCACGTGCGCCAGCTCTCGGCGAGCCGCCGCGCCGCGGACGATGGCAACCGGCACGAACGACGCCTCGCCTCGGAGGGGGGGTGCGCCCGCGGAGTGCAGCGCATTGCATGTGTGCGTGATGCGCACATGCGCTGCGACTTCGCTCCCTCGCGGGCCCTGCGGCGCGCGCTGCCCTCTGCATCGGGGATGGGAGCGTGCGCCGCCAGAAGCCAGAGGATGCGTAAAGGCCCTGGTTTTGTTTGCTTGTCCAGCCCGCGTTTCCCCGAATGGCCGCCGTTGCGGCCCTTCCCCTGGCGCGTGGCTGGTGCCAAGTAGAGATCAGTTTGACTTGTCCTACGGGCTCTCGCTAAAGAAACGCATCTCCCGCCCTCGTCTCCAGGAGGGCGCGGCGGCGGAGGAGGAGGAGGAGGAGGAGGAGGAGGAGGAGGAGGAGGAGGAGGAGGAGCTCGAGGAGGAGCCCGAGGATTCCTCCTCTTCCTCCTCTTCTCCCCTGGGACGCGGCGCGAAAGCGCGAGGTTATTCGCACGTCGCGCTTCGCGCAGCGCGAAGCGCGAAGCTGGGAGCCCTTGCTGTCGCCCTTCTCGCCGGCGGCTGGGCGCCGGCATCAGTCTAAGAGGCGACGATAGGGGGCGAATAGCCCAGGGGAGAGCAATACATGTGTCCAGGGGCGCCGATGATATGTCTCGAAAGCTGGGCGAGGGCTGCTAAAATGGCTGCTAAAACGGCCCTCCCGGAAGGAAGAAGCACTTTCGCGGAATGAGGCGCGGCACGCGAAGCAGTCAACGGGCTTCTTCCCGGAAGGACGAAGACAACTTCCCTGAGGTTGATTTTAGCAGCCACGGAGTTAGCAGCCCTTGCGTCGGCATCAGTCTCAGAGGCGACGACAGGGGCGAATAGCCCAGGGGAGAGCAATACATGCATCCAGGGGCGCCGATGATCCATGTCTTCGACGAGGCTCCCGGGCGAATGCGTGTACTGCCCGCCCCTGGGCTATTCGCCCCTGTCGCCGCCGCTGGCGATCGCTGGCGCCGCGCCGTGCGTTTCCATTTGGCGGGCGCCCCCCTCCGCGATTCGCCCGAGCAGGGGAGCAATTGTTTCATCACGTGCCCCGGATCTTTTTCCCAAAAATAATCACAAGCTGACATTCAGGGTCCGCCTTGTTGCAGATGATGCGCACGCGTGATTTGTGCCACGCGTCCTGCATTGCCGTCTGCGACCAGACCTTACTTTGAAATCGGGTGATCCACGCGAGAACTGGCCGGCCATCTTTGACAGGCGCCTTCCAGAATTCTAGCATTAAGTTGTCCAAGCCCCCCTCTCGTCGGTGCCTCAATCTGCGCGTTGCCCGCATCACACCCTCGGCAGTAATTAATGGTGTTCAAGCTGACAGGAAGACCAGTGTGCACTACAGGACTGTCTGGTAATGCAGTCGTCGGCCGCACAGCCCCCTGCACTGTTCCCACATGATGTGCGAGAGTGCTAGCCCTGCGGTCGCTGTCCACCAGCTCGCCGCCGTTCGTTCGAAGTCTGCCCTGAGCTCGCTTGGGGCCTCTACGCAATGTCCAGATCTGAGCCCAATCGCTTGTCTTGGTGACACTATCAAGCCAATTCGCTCTGTTCCTGGCTGCCGAGGTCCTGCTGTGTTTCGCAATATCACGCTCGTGCCGAATCCCCATCGCGCGTCGCGTTATGTCATATTCAAGTGGTTTACGCCATGTTGCCGACCCCCAGAAGGAGTGAGTGCCAGTTCTGATGCTTGTCGGGGGCGTGTTGGAGGGCTCGTAGGGAAGACTGTTAGAGTGGAAGTATTTTGGAGCATGGCGCACCGTCATTGGACGCATCGTGATGAGTATCGGAGCTTCCGCGACAGAGATGGGAGAGGGGAACACGAGGAACGCGAACAGGACAAGCCAGGAGAGGTGACGGAGATGGAGTAGACAAGGAGGTGGGAAACCAGTACGATGGGGAGGAAGTGCATGATGAGTGTGGTGATGGATGTAGCGATGGGAGTGGAACTTCAGATTGAATATGAGGAAGATGGGCCAGTGGGAAGGCAAACGCCTGTTGTGGCCTCGAGGGGCGCCTTGGGGCCCTCTTCTGCGCCTCTCTTGGCCTCTTGGGGGCGCCTCGGGGGCCTCTGGGGGGCGCTCGGGCCCATGGTGAGGGGAAGGGCTCGGCATGTCAGCTCGCGTTCCCCCTCTGGGCCCCCCTATAAAGCAATCGTGGGGTCCCCTTGGGGTCCTATTGAGGCTTGCCTCTTGAGGCTCTCTCGACGGTCCCCTGGGAGCACTTCCTGGGCTGTCGTGGGGACCACGTGGGCCGTATCGAAGCCATGAGAGACCGTCGTGGGGCTACTGCGGGCCGACTCGGCGCTTATGTGGACCGTCTTGGCTCTTTGTTTGGGCCCTCTTGGGCCGTCTTGGGGCTCTGGACAGGTTTCCGAGGCGCCAGATGTGCGTTTGGGAGCTACCCCCCTTGGATCCCCTCCCCTCTAACGCGATTTGAAGCTCCAGGGGAGGGGGTCAGGGGGAAGGGGACAACAGCGAATCATTTCACACGCATTTTTGTACCCCTGGCAAGCGGAGGTCGGCGGATCCGTATGAGCTCCAGCGTGCGACTATTGATCCAGGGATTGCGAGGACGGAGCGGTTCCAACGGCAACGCTGTCCTCTCGGCGTACCAGAAACCACCGACCAGTCGACACAAAGTCAGATTCACGTTGGAGGCGTCCGAGAGTGCCTCGCAGCTGATCTTCATACTCCGAAGAGGCTCTCATAGGCTCCAGCAGCGTATCTGAGCGGGCACGGGATGCCCTCGACCAGCTTGCCAGAGCTCAACGCGACACAGCCGCTGCCAGGATGCAGTCGGAGCATCGTGTCATGTTGTTACAACGTACATTCGCCTTTACGCACCAAAACAGTACCAAGGCAGTACCGGGCCTTGGGAGGCGATTCTCGTGCTGGGCAGACACTGTTTCTGTACTTTCTGGGTGTTCGAAGATCTTGTTCTGAAGTATGATGGGATCATCATAAGCATAGTGAATGTATAACAAGCGCGCAACGCCACCAGGCGAAGACGAGGGCGCCCGGGTCGGCAGTTGGCGACTTCCTATGCATGGTGGCATGGTTGTCCAGCCATTCCCATTGCGATTGTTCAATCGCAGCGATCCATGGCAGGAGCCACGAGCGCTCGTGCCTACCAGACCTCGCGTCCTTCACGATGCATGCCTTTGTTGTTCTGTCTTGCGCAAAGCCACGGTCGCCCCGCGCTCCAGGAACCGACCCGAAGATATGAGTTAACTGCGCATGGACAAAATATCTCAAGACAAAATTCCAAGATGACGCCCTGAAGGCCATGGCGGCTCCAGATGGCCTCCAGCATGCCTCCCAGAGGCTCCAAGAAGGGCTCAAGATGGCTCGGGATATCCTCAGTAGTCCCAAATCAGCGACACACCATGGTGTTTCCGAAATTATGTCGCCTCTTTTGTTTACGATGGGCTTTGATGCCTTAATGCGCACGAATATAATCCCATGAAGGCTCCAGAGTCCTCCAAGAGCGCCGCAGTGCACCCCAAGAGCGTCCCAAGATGGGCCAATTTGGCCTTACGAGGGCTCCGAAGCTTCCCAAGAGCACTCCTTACGGACAAAGTTAGGGACCCGATAAACCGCCCCGTCGAAGACCATGAGGATTCGCCATCGGGAGCCAATCGCCGATCTATCGGTGATCTATCGCCGCTTTCACGTCTCTGCTCCCCTCCCCTGAGCCAGTCCTTGGGTGGTTTGCGGGTCGTAACTTGGGCCTCCAGCGGCCATTCGGGACGATCTTGGAAAACCCACGAGAGCCGACGAAGTCGTCCGAAACCTTCGAGCCTCGGAACTTCGATGCCCCCCAGAAGTCCCTCCTACAATTATGTATCGTTGCCCCTCCCCGCCACCGAGGTTCCCCCCACGCTAGGTTCATGCGGCGATGGCGCGCCGGCGACGCCGGCGAAGGCGTTCAAGGTTGAATTCTGCGACGCAGAAGCACCGAGGGACACGGTAACACCTCTGGACCCGATGGAATTCAACCTTGAACCATCGGGGCCGTGATCGATTCAAGGTTGAACGATCGTCGCGGCGTCACAAACCTGTGCGCGCGCCGACGCCGTGCGAACCTGCTGTATTCCTCATATTTCCGACGATGGGCATTTTCAACCCTCGGAGGCGACGATAGGGGCGATTAGCCTACGGGGGGGGCATTCTACGTATTCGCTGGGGAGCCTCGCCGAAGGCATGGGTTGGCGGCGCCACTGGGTACAAGTGTTGCTCCCCCTAGGGCTATTCGCCCGTGTTGTCGCCTATTACCCTCCACACCCAACACTCAAACCCGACGGTGTGCCGCGTGCAGCGGGCGCAGGGCGACGACCAGCTGGAGATGATCGCCGTCGAGGGCGCCGCGCCTGCCGCCTCGCAGGCCGCAGAGGCCCGAAACGGGCACGGCTGCGCCGCCTCCAGGCCGCCCGCCTGGCCTTGAGAGGGAGAAGGGGGGGGTCGGGGCTCGAGAGACGGGGGTCAATGCAAACGGGGGTCAGTCAGAAGTCAGAGCGCCGGATCTTGCAGGATTCTGCAGGGCCAGGTTGCACTGACCCAGGTTTGGGTGTAGGATCCTGCAGGATCCTGCAAGGCCCGACTGACCCGGTTATGTGTTCACACGGGTCAGTAGATCCCCGAGGGGGGCAGGATTGGTCGGGGGCCCCCAAGCGTCAGTCGTTCGAAGCTTGCTTACCGAGATTTCGTTGGAGTGCCTTCAGCAGGTTCTTTGGTCCCTTCTCGCCCACGATCGTGTCTTCAGACTCCTCGGTCCGTGGTAGACGCAGGGCTAGTTTCCTGTGCGAGTTGTTCCTGGGAGAGGCCTGCACCAGGCGGGGTCCAAGCAGTTTCCGTTCTTCTTCCTTCGTAGCAAGAGTCAGCAGCTCCACCTCGGCCTGATACTCGTCTAGCGTATCAGCCTTGCCGTCCCCGGTCGGGATCTTCTGGAAGTCCTCGATCTGACTCGTGCTCGTTGACGCCATCGAGTCAGCTTAGCACTAATTCCAAGCTCGCACTACCAATGTATCGAATCGATGAGGTAGCTTGCCGATGGCATGCGAATGGTATGATACTGAGCTAATAGCAGCTTCGAATACTATGATGTATATACAAGCACCTATATTCACTTTTCTAAGGCTGAGCGTGGGCTGGTTGAACAGCCGATGCAATAAGTTGTATGCACGCCGCGCACAGAAAGCTCAAGTACCGGATAGGAGTGCGGGAATCCGCCGCTGGCTTGTGCTAGCAATCTTCTAGCACAAACCTGCATGTCCACGACAAGAAGGGGGATGATGATGATGATGATGATGAGGATGATGAGGAGGAGGAGGAGGAGGAGGAGGAGGAGGAGGAGGCGGAGGAGGGGGAGGAGGGGGAGGAGGGGGAGGGGGAGGAGGAGCAGGATCGAGGTGGAGGAGGAGGAGAAGGGAGGAGAAGGGAGGAGCGGAGACGGAGGCGGAGGGGGAGGAGGAGGAGGAGGAGGAGGAGGAGGTCCGTAGCCATTTTGGCTCAAGACTAAACGAGGGGAAGCAACGAGGTTGCGAGGTAACTCGATTAGTCTTGTGGCCCGTCCGTGGCCATCTGTCAAGGCCTTTGGCCTGCTCTTTTCGCACTCACGACCCCCACGGGAGCGCTCGTGCGCCGTGGGCTCCGTTTCGGCATCGGTCAGTCTGCTTTCGGCGTCCCGTCACAGCCAGCATGGCCGCGATGGATGCAGCTGCTAGCGCTCAGCTCCTGGAGCAATTGGAGTCTGCGCCGACGTTCCCCGACGAAGAGAGGCCTCTCGATCGCAGCCGATCGCCTTACGAAGCCGGAGAAGAGGTCTACGAGTCAGCAGACGAAGAGGAAGGGGGGCAAGCTGGGGCTCGCCGCGCTTCTCGTTCTTCTGCTCGTCGTGATGATAGACGCCCTGCAGCTCGTCGTGCTGAAGCTCCAGCAAGGCGCCCTGCCCCCCAGGCCGTTCACCGTGCCCCTGCTGCCGCGCCAGAGGATGACACCGTCGCAGGCCTCCGCACATACGTGGACAGCACCAAAGATGAGCTTCTTAATGCCATCACCGCCATCCAGTCGTCGGTCACCGCGCTTGCCTCCACTGTCCAGCGTAGCTGCACTCAGCTCGGTCAACAGGTGGAGCACCGCATGTCCAAGGTCGAGTCCACCCAGGCTACGCAGGCCAAGCTCATCGAGGCCCTTGATGCGAAGATATCCCAGATGCAGAAGGAGATCGGGCTCATGCGCTCTGAGACCCCCACGAAGTTGGAGATCAACTCCGCGTTCCAGCGCGAGGCTGACCCCACGATCATCGTCTGCCGCACGAAGTCCCTGGTCTCGAAGGCTAACATCTTGGTCTGCACCCGTGACTGGCTTTCGGCTGCCAACTGTGGTGAAGGAGATTTCGATCTGGTTGCTGAGCCCACATCTAAGCGGTTCACTATGCAATTCAAGGGTTGCCCGACATATGCAACAACTGGCGTCGTTTCAAGGCCCAGGACGTTCAGAACCAAGAAGTTGAGGTTCATGTCTCGGCAGACAAATCCTTGTACCAGGTCAAGGTGGAGCTGCTCCTCAAGCTGCTGCGCAGGACCATCAACGAGATCTACCCGCACGTGGAGCTGTTCGCCAACAAGGCGCGAGGGGAGCTCTCGCACCGCTGGAAGCCGCTCCTTCGCGTTATCCCGAGTGCCGACTCTGACCACAAGGTGGAGTGGGCGCTGGCCAACCTCACGGAGCTCCGCATGGACAAGGACACGATCGCCAGGCACATCCAGAGGCACCTTTCGAACTCACAGGAGATCGAGTGGAGTCTTTGACACGTTCTTCAGACAGTGGCGAGGCACATCGACCTCGCACTCGGGGCTAACTTGTACCTCGTGGAATGCGCGTGCGTTATTCCATCACGACTTGCGGCTCAGAGACCGCAAGCTGCGCTACCTCTCGAAGCTCATTTCGCCAGGCTCCATTGTATCGGTTCAGGAATCGCATGGAGATAGGCATCGGGTCGCCGATTTTCTATATAATCTGCACAGACCAGTTTTGGCCATCTCTTCGTTTAGGCGGTGCGAGCCAGGACATCCAGCTGGTGGTGTCATCACGTTCTTCCCCAACTTTCGTGCGCTCCATCATCCTCATCCCCCTCAGGTTTCTGAAGCAGCACTGGTAGAAGGTCGGGTTCTCCGTGTGCAGTTTTGTTTTCAGGAACAAGTCTCCCTGGTCCACTACAATATCCATAACCATGGGCTAAAAGCTGAAGTTCGGGATCGGGTTCTCCGTCGAATCCAACGGGACCTCCGGGATGCTGAGCAAGACCCATTACGTAAGCTCGTCGTCGTCCACGGGGACCTCAATATCGCTAGAAGCCCTCCTGCACCTCTGAACCACTTCTCCCCCGACCTGGACACCCCCCAAGATCCCTCTCGAGACCCCCGACGGACCGCCGACAGGGCCTGGGGCGGAGTTTTGAATACCTTGGTTGAGTTGGACAGCGAGGATTTCACACACTTCCATGAAGGGACGCGGACTTTAGCCAGAATAGATCGAGCTTTTGTATCTTGGCCAGGGTGGAGCCTGACGCAGTTAAGCACGGTCACAAGGGTGCACGGCCTCCCAGAGATTCTCTGTCGGTCTCATCTCTCAGATCACAGTGCACTCATGTTCTCTATTTCCCCACGTAAGCCTCTACCTCCAGAAGATAGGCCTGTGCATCCAGACCTTTTCAGTACGCCAGAGTATGCCAAGTTCATCAAGATGACCTTGGCGCAGTCCTCGTGCGAGGACCTTTCAGTGCCCCAGCGTTTGGAGTACCACAAGATGGTGATGAAAGAGGCAGCTAGATTCGCCAGGGACTCGATCGTCGTGAAAAGGCCCCTTGATCCCCTGTCGCAGTACATCGTGTGTCGCTCGATCGCCAGGGCCCTCTGGAAGCAAGATAGGACGCTCGCGGACCGACTCGTTCTGGCTCATCCGCTCGCTCGGGATCATCTCGAATTGCCTCCTTTCTCCACCACAGTCGAGCTGAAGGATCCAGTTCGGTTCACTCAGCTCACAAATGATGTCCACATGCGCCTGATTGCGGACTCCCAGAAGCGGACCAAGCAGCAGATAGGCGAGGAAACCCCAGCCCGTGCCAGAGCCAAACTTGTGAGGAAGCTCAAGAGTCTTGAACGACGAGGCAAGCTGCGGTTGCCTTTTGGACGTAAACTGGGCCTCGCTGGCCTTGCTCTGCCTGACGGTTCCGCCACCCACAACCCGAAGGTCATGCTCGGTGGTTTGGCTCGGCACTGGGGGGAAGTCTTTTCGGAGAAGCCCATAGATTGCCCTGCAGCCAGACAATGCGTCCAGAAGTTCTTGGGGGACCTCGACCTCTCCTACCTCAAGCCTCCCACTCAATATGATATAGAGAAACACCTTCGACATTGCCCTCCTAGTGCTCCAGGACCCGACGGGCTCCCCTACAAGGCTTGGCAGTTCCACCCCAAGGGCCCCGAGATGCTCGCTGAGGTTATGCACTGGATGCTCGAAGGTAACCAGATGGGGCTCACGTTCAACGATGTTCGAGGCGTCTTTTTAGCCAAAGGCGATCAGCCTGGAGACACTGCAGGCCCTGTGCGCGAGCCTGGAGCGACCCGACCGCTAGGCCTGAAGAATGCTGACTGCAAGGTGGTGACGGCTGTTTGCACGCGCGAGCTGACGAAAGCACTGCCGACCAAAATAGATTCAATGCAGAGAGGATTTATCCCCACACGTAACCTCGGCATGAACATATACGAGCTGGACGCGTATGCGAGGATGACAGGCTTGGAACCTGCTGCTGCTGAGCGCCTCCCCCTCCTCCTTGCCTTTGACTTCAGCCACGCTTTCCCATCCGTATCTCACGAATGGATTTTCCTTGTCTTATCTGCTTGCTCCCTCCCCCCTCCTCTGCTGATGTTCTACCACTTTATCTACCGCTTTGTCTGTTGCTTTGCTCAGGCAGGCTCCTCTCTCCTCCCTCTCTTCTTCCTAGGGTCTGGCATCGTGCAGGGCTGCCCGGCCTCGGGGACCTTGTATGCCCTTGCATCCGAGCCTTTCAACGCGCACTTTAGAACGACCATTCTGAAGAAATGCCGAGGCATCATTCGATGCTGCGCCGATGATGTAGGAGGAGTCATTCACAGAATAGAATGGCTCAAAAAACTGTACACCGTCTTTGCTGCTGCCGAGCGGGTCGCAGGGCTGCGTTTGAAAATAATCAAGTGTTTTGCCGTCCCGCTGTGCTCCCATTTTACCCCAGAGCTAAGAGATCGGGTGGTGCGCTGGCTTGAAAGGGAACTGCCTGCTTGGGCCAAGTTCTCGATAGTCTCACACCTCACCTATCTTGGCATGAAGTTAGGCCCTGATATAGTGCACCAGATGTGGTCAGAGCCGTTGGAAAAATACTTCTCACGTGC